CCTCCCTGGCAGGCAGAACGGGTATGGGATCAGTAGGGCATTAGTTGGGGGTCAGGGGAGGAAGGGAGGTGGAGGGTCCCGGGATTGACATGTGAAATAATTTTCTTTCTAATTAAACAAAGGAGAAAGAAACAAAAACAAAACAAACAAAAAAGGTACCAGCTGTCATAGGGTTTCTTTTAATGCTGTAAAAATTAGTTTTATTTATGTATAGTAGTTAGGCCTTATGTGTGGGTCATGCCTTCAGAAGCCAGAGATGATTGATGCTGGATGCCCCAGAGCTGGAGTTACTTGAGGTTGTGAGTGGCCCGTATGGGTGCTGGGAACTGAGCTCAGGTCCTCTGGAAGAGCAGCAAACACTCAATCACTGAGCCATCTGTCCATATCCACTGAGTCATCTGTCCACATCCACTGGGCCATCTGTCCACATCCACTGAGCCATCTGTTGTGTTTACTGAGCCCATCTGTCCATATCCACTGAGCCATCTACCCAGCTCAGTTACAGGCTTTCCATCCCCTTCCAAATAACAGGTTACTGGATGGCCAGATGGTCATTCAGATTTCAAACATGAGGAATGAAATACAAAATTTATATTGATTAATTCAGACTTGTGCTTTTTATCAGGCCTTTGAGTGACATGTTTCCCTTATAAACTGCTTTTATATCTGTGATCTTTGATTGTTCCAAAGTATTTGAGTATTTTATGTGAGGTCAGAGATTTAAAAAAATGTTCAAGGAAAAAAACTCAAAATCACCAAAATGCGTAGTTATGTCTGGGAAACAGCATTAAAGAATTCATTTCCTATTTCACACCATTAATATTCATAGCTTTGTTAAAATATATTATTTTAATATTCTAGGAACTAACATCCACATCCATGCTACCTCAACTCAGTTCATAGTGAACAAAAATGCAGAAAAATATGAGGAAATGCATGGGAATTGCATATTGAAGAAACCCAGCTATCTTTACCTTGAGTTTTCATGATTTTCCATAATGATATTTTGTTTCAATATTTTATTTTTGTCTTTAGTTAACTGTGAAAGCTGTCCTATATGGTTGTGTTCTTGATTGCTGGAGATAATTGCTGTGCCTTTTGGTTGCCAAGACTTTTTTTCCGAGAAATTATTTTTTTATTAGTTCAAATTGGAAACAAGCCTGCTTCACATGTCAATCTCTGCTCCCTCTCCCTCCACTCCTCCTCCATGCCATCCCCCCTCTGCTCTCCAGGGAGGGTAAGGCCCTCCATGGGGATCACCAGAGTCTGTCATATCATCCTGGGCAAGGCCTCAGCCCTCCCTCATGTTTCAAGGCTGAGAGAGCATCCCTGTCAAGACATTTTAAAAGGTGTGTTTATTGATTTCCATGACCATATTTAGTGGAATGATCATGTGACCTCTGTATTCCCTGAGGTGAATCATCCTTGTCACAAACCTGAGTTAGTATGGTATAATTTTGCATTAATTTTCATATTCAATATGCTAATGCATTATTCAGGGTCTTCTCTGCATCCCTGAATGTGGTGGTACATGGTTTTCCTGTTGCATTTACTTTTCTAGTTTGGATAGCAGACATTTTCAGACTTGTTCTCAGAAAGCTATTAATAGAATTCTATCTTCCTAAGCTAGCTGACACACACACATATAACCTCAGTGGTCAGGAGCTGGAAACAGGAACACTAGAATGTTAAGGCCAGTCTAAGTGATGGGAGACCTTATTCCCTGAAAAATAACCAAAACGAATTATCTGTTACCTCAAAGTTCATACCATGACTCTTAGAAATGTCTGAAACAGGTCACTGTTGGGATTATAGGAAATGTGAACAGTATGGTCTTTCTTCTTCCTCACTGAGGCGAGTGACTTCATGATATTCACTACATTTTAATGTTCATTTAATCTAGAGCAGCTTGCCTTACAGGTTGAGAACCATTGACTTAGAACCAGGAGGCAGATTCCCACATAGCTTCAAAAGCCCCGGGTGTTTTGCAGGCTTCTGCCTGTCTGTAACTCACTCCGCTGTGTCCCCAGAGATGCTAAACTTTGTCTGCCCAAGATTGTCACCATTTGTATTAACTTTATCGTGAACAGCCACATCTCTTCTCAACCAGCGTTCATTCTTCAGATTTCAACCCCAAGTACTCTAAACCAAGCAATGTGTGCCCAGTCACACAACCACTCCAAAGAATTTAACCAGACCCACTGCTGAATAGTTTATGGTCTTTGCTATAAAATAGTTCAAAATTAAAATGTAAAATATATGTACTATAAAATTTGTTTTCTAACCAACATACGAACCCACATCCACTTTGATCAGTAGAATTTGACAAGTACCACTTAGTAAGGTATATAATAGACCAGCTAGAGATGGCTTTTCTGAATCACTTTGGCTCTTTACTACCATTGTGGTAGAATATCATTTTATATCACTTTATTTTATTAAACAATATACTATTTAGTTTCGAATTCATGTAAATACAAGAAAAAGTCTTGCCATGGTTTCTGTGATATTTATCTGTTGTTTGTGCTTTCAATACTGTACTCGTAAGATATTTCTGTATTAATAGTCCAGATTTCTTTTATTTTACATTTAATTCACATATGTCTAGTTAGTTAGTTTGTTTCTTTGGCTAGGAACCAAAACCCAGAACCATTGTAGCCAGGGTCAATTTTAGTTCCCCTGTGTGAGGAGGTTTGCACAGGCAGTCTTGGGTGACGGTTTAGTTGTAATGGCAGATTTCAGGGAATATATTTTGCTTCTACTTAGAGCCAAGTCTAAGACAAACATGTTTCTTTGACATTCCCCCATTTAGGGAATTCTTTTAAGATGATGAAATTACTGGTGTTTAATTTGGAAAATCTCAGCTATTAATTAGATTTCCCCCCATGAGAAGGCAACCAGTTGACTGTCATGAATATGAACTCAGGTCCATTTCTTAACAGCATTATAATTCTGCTTGTTATTTTGCAACCAACTAACACTTCAGAAGCATCCTGCTGGTCTTGCCACATTCCTATAGACATTGTCACATAATGCAGGTTGCTTATAAATCGAAATACACTGGTTACTCTTACTCTACTAATAGTTATGTTTTAAGTGAACATGTAAGATGCTAAGTAAATACAAAGTTAACACATGAAGACCTTATCAGAACATTTAATAATTACAACAAAATAAATAATGCAAGTACTTTTATTATGTGGGTTTTAGTCTTTATTAGTTACTTGAATCTATGATAATGTAGTTTATTTCATTTAAAATTTCAAGTTCTGGGATAAATAAACACATCAGAAGAAACATGCCTACATATTAAAAATGATTTATTGTGTGAGAAATTATACCTCTTTAAGATATAATTCTATCTCTTTAAGATATGATGTTACTAGAAACAGGCAAATTGGTAAGTCTAACAACATATTAAATTTAATTTTTGCTACATAAAGAAGAAAATCAAGTAATATAATTTTGTCTGTAAATATGACAAATGGCTATTTGTTTAAAAATGAAGAAATTGAAGAAAAATTAGTTGGTACTTTCCATGAAGTTTCATCCTTAGTGCCTACCTTTCATCATACTGTCATGCAGCTTCTCTGGGGAAAGGTCACCAACAGTTCCCACTAGCTGAGAGCCCTATGAACTACAATAACAGACAGTGTGACAAGACACACCCTTGGATGCAAGCAAGGGTGACATGAATGCTATAAGGGAGCCAACCACTTTCAGATTGGATTTAAAACCTGATCCTGAGGATGCAACATATGCCCAATATCTCAGATCTATCCAGTAACTCATGGTCATTAAGGTCACAGTCCCAAGGGTGTGCCTACTACTATTATTTTGCCCCATTTAGGAAACAGTATTAAATTATCCTCAAAGGCCATATGAGTCTATCCATAGATTAGTGCAGCTCTCACACCTCATCTGAGAAATTTCTTGTGTAGTAGACAGTGTTTAATGCTGACACCCACAGTTGGTCAAATTGCAGAGAATAGGCTAAGTGGAGTGTTCAGCCACAAACCAGATAGCATACCCACTCCCAAAGTTAAGGGACCATCAATGATGAGGGACAGATGTAATGGAGAAAGGTGCAGAAAGACCTTTAAGAGATAAAGGTTAGGGAGGAACTGAGTAAAAGAGTGTTTTCTGGACATGGCAGGACCACAGCCCTCACCATCTCAAATCAGCTGCGGATACCTGAGTAAGACCCACCCAAGATCAAGCCACCTTAGTGTGGGCAGGAACAGTTCATGATGCTGATAGCTTCTGGCAGAGGAAGAGTCAGTTTTCTTTATGGATATACCTCCTGGTAGGTTGACCACACCCCAGTGGATAGCTCCACCCCCAGATGTAAATGTATAATACAAATTGAATTCAAATAAAAGAGGACATAAAATTGGGGGATTAAGGAGTTGCGGACAAATCTGGTGGAATTTAAGCAGAGGACTTGGGGATGAATATGACCAAAATAAATTGTATGGCTTCTCAAATAATCAATATTTTAAATTCAAAATGGAAAAATTGTAAAATTTACAAGACTGTGTCAAGTTGACCATTGATGCCAACTAGAAACTATGTTATTTTTATTATAAACTTTCTATTGATACAAAGAAAAATAATTATAAATGTGACTTTTACATTTGCATTAGAAATTACCTAGGGGGAAATAAGCTTTCTAAGTGTGAAGTAAAGTTACCAATAGGAGTATGATAGACCAGGGTATAAGCAGAAACCTGTGCTTGCTGGACCTCACATGGTTCTTCTGTTCTCATGTATTTTACTTTGTTGTTTAAGTAACAAGGCAGTTAGTATAATGATGAAAAACAAGTAAACTATGCTGAACTAAAGTTAAAATAAATGTCATCAGGAGTCATCAGATAACTTTTAAGTGTTTGAAAATACATAAAACACTGTATGCTCTTGCATGTGACCTGTCAGAACTCAGCATCCTTGAGATGAAATGGTGCATTCTCTGTTGACTTATGAGTCTTATTTCCCTCCAGACAGAGCCAAAGGAAGATCAAGAACAGGGACCCACTTTGACTCAGCCCGGAGACGGAGCCGAGCTGTCCTTTATCACATCTCAGGACACCTGCAAAGAAGAGAGAAGAACAAATTGAAAATAAATAACGTAGGTGGTATGTGTGCATCACGGACACCAGTCCCCTTGGAGAGCAATGTGTAATACACTAAGGAAAGGTTCCAATTACTCATTTATTGATGTTTTTAGCTGTCTTTTTCCCACTTTGTCTTGCATTTATCCATAAAGAACAAACTAGCAAAGGTCAGTGTCACGAGGCATTTCTATAAACATGCACAATCATAGTGTTACAATCACAGAGATTACAGTGCCATGGGAGTCAGTGCACAGTATGCCAAGGAGAGCACACCAGACATGTAGTGAGGGCACACTAGACATGTAGTAAGGACACAGTGTGCTGAGGAGGGGCACACCAGGCATGTAGTCAGTGAATGCACTGAGCAGGGGCACACCTGAGAGACTCTATGGTTTGAGAAACAGGACAAAGTGTAGCATGTCACATTTATAGTTACTGTTGGTTAGTAGTCTAATTTATAAATTGAATATCAGGATCAGTGTTACTCTTGATCTTATTACCCTTTGTGTCTTTTCCCAGGGGAACCGTGGACCAATACAGGTCATCACTCCATTTAAGACTTCACTTCTATACAAAATAGGTGGAACTTTCAGACAGTGCAGTATTGCGTTGGAATTCCAAGCTACACTGATTAGGTTATATAACAAGTTTCACTTTCAGTGAATTACAGTAAGGGCTGATTTCTGAACCAGTGTGATCACCTGTTGAAAGCCATTGCGCCAGTAAAAGCTGCTTGGTTTGTTTTCACAGGGTTTTAATCACACATCACACCCTCAAGAAATTTACACATAACTTTTATTTAACACAAAGGAACTTCACCTGTATGGAGATGAGCAGAACAATGTCTGTTTGGTTGCAGACTTCAAACACAGCTTTTCAGTGTGGAGTGATCAGACTGCAGGTTTGGGGGGTGACTATGGGTGGGAAACTGAACAGTCAGTCTAACTTGCCAGTGGAATCATAAACAGCCATATTCAGCAAGCAGAACTCCTCGGGATTTTGAGATTGGTCCAGATGTCCTGGGAGCTGAGGACTGGGGTTCTTTACAACCCTACTTTACAGCCAGCACTGTGGTGACCCTGACTTACATTCAAGACATTCAAGCCAATGTCTTGAAACAAACCTTGCTTCTTGTGTACAAAGTATCTATTTCTGTGCTGATAGCAAACAAAGAAAAGTGTATAAACCCAGGGTGTGAGGAGCTACCTGAATATGATACAAATGTGGTTTGGCTTTAATATGATTCCCTCTGGAAGTCACAGTTAGAGTTCTAGTCCACTCATGCTCCTGGGGTCATCCAACAAGCTTGGCTATTCTGCCATTCACTGCTGTACAAAGTGCTACACAGCTGGTGGTGGGTGAAAGGGTTTTTGTTGTTGTTGTTCTAACTTACTATGATAGTTTTCTGTTTTGCTTTGTCTTTTTTGTGTGAGTGAGCAAGTATGTATTGCATTACTGATATGCATATTTATAGAGATTTGCTTATGCTGGAAGTACACACTTCTTCTTGCTTTAGTTGAGAAGTATTTACTTGAGACTCACTGAAACACTGCAAGTCTCAGTGATATTAAACGGCATTGTTGAGCCTTGCTATTTTCCCCTCTAGATTTAACAACCTATAAAACATTACTGAAAAATCTGTATGACAAAAGTTATAAATCACACTCCTTAGTGGCTTTCTTAATTGCTGTTGTTCTATTTAGAAGTTTAAACCTCAGAGGGGAGGGTAGTAACTAGGAATGTCTAGTTGGCTCAGAGACCGTGATAGCACAGGTACCCTGACTTCTGAAGCCAGGTGTGGAGTCAGTCACTGTGCAGGATAGAGAGCAGTTAATGGCCAGACAGCAGGAAGAGAGAAGGAAAGACAGAAAAGACCCTGAGCTTACTGGGAAAACAGTCTTAGAGGAATTCTAGCTGCAATAACCCATGCCCACAAAAAGAGCCACTACCAGTTTATCATGCTATTTAAGATTGCCTTCCTTACATTCTGTTACTCAAGGCTCACAGCAAGCTAGTACTGCATAAGGTTTTTATTCATTCCATGTTAACAAAAGGGGAAAAAAACAACCTTTTTGGGTTTTCATTAAAGTCTCTAAAAATAGAAGAATCGGCTAAGGGGATCAAACCTTAATTTTCTGCTTCAAATCACTGTCTTGTTCTTGAGCAGCTTTTCCCCATAGATGATCCTATACTGCAATCACAGGCAGAAGAACTCCTTAGGCCTTCTGGATAGGTTTGAGGATCGGAGGTAAAACCTTTAGTTTAGGCTTAAGTTTGTCTGGAACCTGCTGGAAAAAGACTTTCCTTCCTTTTGATTTTGATTCTTTACTCTTTGGAATGAGGAGAGAATGAAGCTAGTATATCCAGCAGAAATAAATATTGTACAGGTTGCAGAAGAGAGCCCCCCAGGAGTTTGAGGCAGTGCTAGCCATGCCCAAATATCTCCAACAGGAAGCCTCACTCATTCATGTTATCATCAAAGACAGGACCTGTGTCAGCTGTGCCCAGTATAGTGCCTGTAAGAATATTTTTCTGCACCCTTGTACATTTAGAGGTGAGTTTCAAGGAAACATTGTAAAATACGTTAGAAAACAAACATCTTAGTTAGGCTTTGGAGTTAACTAGTGCATTGGATAATTTGTGGGATAAAAATTAACCAACTAAAGCATTACTGGTTCTAAAGCATGCCCCTCAAAGTTAAGAAGTAACAGATGCTCAAAATCTATTTTTTTTTGTTTAAAACCTTGTCTTAGTCCTTGACATGCTCCATGTGTTTAGGGGTTATAAATGCTGTGATGTTCCTTCCCTGTTTCCGTAGACTGCACAATTTTATGCACTCGCATATTTTTATGCTTGTAAGAATTTGCTTGATTCAAAAAGGTTTTGTTAAAGACTTTGGTGTAGTAAGCCTTTTGCCACCCAGGTAACTATGTAATGGTGTGTGCAGGATTGAATTATTGACCCTTCCAAAGTTAAGTCAAACCTGAAATGTATTGAATCCAAAGTATAATTTTAAACATCATGTTGTAAGAATAATTTGACAATAACTTTAACTTACATGCTTGAGGTATTCCCTAAAATTGACACCATGCAGTTCACATTGAAAGATGCTCATTCGTTGCTTAGCTTTTGTCTCAGTATCCGAGAGTTAAATGGAATCCATGTGACCCAAAGTAGACATCTTCCCATGAGGGTACAATCCTCACTCTAGGCCTCTTATACTAGGTACAATCTGAGGCACTCCAACAAAATGGTAAAGACAGTAGCTATTTGGATAGAAGCATTAAGTGCTACAGGTGAATCCTGATAATTTCCCCTTGTAAATGTTTAGGGATAAAGTCATAATGCAATCTATTGCATGAAGGGCTAGAAAGATGGCTCATCAATTAAGAGCACTTACTAGTCTTAAAGAGAACCGGAGTTTGGTTCCCAGTACTCACACAGTGGATCAATGCTGTCTGTAACTCCTTTTCCAGGGAATTTAATGCCTCCTTCTGGCCTCTATAAGCACCAGGTATACATGTAATGTATAAGCACCCATGCAGATAAAAAAGTCATACACATAAAACAAAATAAGTAAACCTTTAAAAGATTTATTATATGCTATTGTAACTTCAAAGTACCTTATCAAACTTAGGAGATGAGTACTTGTGGACCCAAAGTCTCTCTTCTGTGCTCTTGAATGAGCTTTAACAACTCCCCCTCACACACATCCCACAGACATACAAAGTAATTCATTGTCTTGGTTTTATGGCAAAGCTTTGGAACTTGTCCTCAACTATCAGATAGGTACTTTGATGGAATACATGCAGTGGCACCAACCAGCCATCCAGAAGTGAAGTAGTGCCCCACAACGGAGCATGAGCATGACATGCTTGTATGACTAAGTAGACAGGTGTTGGGAACCCCTACCTTTAAACAAGGGGCAGAAACGACAACTTCAAGTTTTATCTCTATTAATGTTCTTGGAATCCTCTGGTCTGGGGCTTCCTGAACACACAATATTTATCTGCCCTCCCTTCAGTGACTGAGACAAGGAAACAACATTGTGGCCTATAAGTACTACATATTCAGAACTTCTTCTATTCGTTCGAGTTAAATTTCAAATCTAAGTTCTCATTACCTTTCTTGCATTTCTCATTAATTAAGGTCAAAGCAAAGTCTATAAATACCTGGCCACAGGCTTGTGGAATTTCCACATACGATATTGTTGAGCCTCTTTTTGTCTCATAGCAACAGGAAATTGTTCATCCATTTGGGCTGCTTTTAAAGCAAAGTGCTTCAGCCATCAAAAGCTCTAGCTATCCTCTGTTAATCAGCTGTGTCGTGAACATTACCTTCCTCCTGTAGGACTTGAAAAATAATCCCTAAATAGCTGCTTCTCCTTAGTGGGTGGTATATTTCTGAATATATCCCTATTGATCAAAGTAATGAGGTTTGGGTTCTGATTAGAAACATCACCAACACCCACAATGCATGAAAGCATAGGCCACCCTATGTATCTTGGCAAGAACGTTTGCAGGAGAATGTTGGTCATCTCTACCTTTTGGAAGGGGGAGCCATCTTTTCTGACATCACCAGAATCCCAGGTCAGAGCTCTTTGGGTAATGATTGTCACCTGAAATCCACCCATCTGCAGACTATGCTCATATTAATGAACACGCAAGCATGCCTTTTATGTTACACTATGTATAGAATGACACTTGCAGCTGGATGCTTTTAGATAACATTTGAGATAACTACCCTTTTGTTTTTTGATGACCAAAATCTGAATTATTCACTTTTAACAGTTACTAAAAAATCTCCAGAGTGCTGTGCACATAACAGAGATCACTGTCCAGTTTTAGTCCAGTAACAAGCAGGACACATTCTAAGAAGTGTGTTATTAGGGTAATTTTGCTTTTGTAGGAATCCCATAGAGGGTGTTAATAAAAATTTACATAGTGCTAGTCTGGGATGGAGATGATTCCAAGTATAAGGTGACTCAGAGCACACACTGTTCCCACAAAGGAGCTGAGCTTGGTCTCCATTACCCATGTCAAGTGTCTCACAAATACCAGTAATTCTGAAGAGACCTAACACACTCTTTTGACCTCCTTGGGCATCTGTATTTATGTGTACAAACTAAATAGGTTTGCTGCTCAATCACTCAATGTACCAATAAGCAGTGAGTTCAGCAGATGACATATGAACCTGCAGCTCGTGTACTAAATGCTGACAGTGAACTTTTTAAATACATAGGAACACTCTCTGAAACAGAAGTAGGATGGACATACTATAAACACATAAACCAAGAATACCTGTTTGTTACTATGATTGATATTGTGTACTATGCATATCTATGGTGCACTTGTACATGGCTAAGATTCAGTATGTTCCTATACAGCAGCATTGCAGATAGTTTACAGTGTTACAATAGCCTGCATCTTCCCTAGGTGACAGGATTTTCATTTCACTTGGAATCTTGTGGGACCAGCACCACAATGAAGCCAGTAGCTGACTGAATCACACTTGGGTAGCATAGGACAGTAGACTCATGTTTGATTTTACAGGTCACTTGTAGGGTATTTGATGTTGAATGCATGGATAGTTCAGTCTCCATTTCTAATCTATGCTTCTTTGCTCCTCTTCTCTGTGTCTTTATCCACAGAACGTGTTTGTAGATAAACCAGCATTTCCAGAGTATAAGGTTTCTGATGCAAAAAAATCCAAGTTCATTCTGCTGCATTTCAGCACTTTCAAAGCTGGCTGGGACTGGCTCATTTTGCTGGCAACATTTTATGTTGCTGTGACAGTACCTTACAACGTGTGTTTCATTGGCAATGAGGACCTGTCCACAACTCGGAGCACAACCGTCAGTGACATTGCAGTGGAGATTCTTTTCATTATAGGTAAGATGCAGTAACTTCACATCTGGAATATTTGCTTGTAAAAACAAGCATGTTCCAGAATTTTCTGTGGATCATTTGAACTGAGTTGTTTGCTGGAGTGTGTCTCAGCCTGTGATATAAATTTTGAAGACTCATATACTTGTATTTCTGAAAATTGCTTATTCCAGTTTTCCTACTGTTTCTGTGTTGGAACATCTAAGCCAAAATCCCATGTTTCTACATTTATTTTATATTAAAAAATGGCTCAAAGGAAGATGCAGTGCCTGTTGTTTGGGCTCTGACACTCTTAGCAGTATTAACTATGCAACGTCAGAGATGAGTTTAGCAATACCTGCCAGTAAAATGGCATTCAGACAACGTTCAGTATATCCTGGGTATGTGGTTCTTCAAGCTGTTTATGATGGACTCAGCAAGTGCCTGCTTACAGAAGCAAAGAATAAGCAAGGTTCTTAGTTACCTAAGATAGTCAAGAGAGGTAGTATCTGATTTTAGATAAGGAGACCCTAATGAATGTTTGCTCCCAGTATTCATCTCTAAAACCTGGGGATTTCAGTAGACCAACATTGGTTTGACTGTGTAGAACTTTTTCTGTGACTGAATGTTAGTATGTGTTTGCTCTAGACGGCCCCTTCCCTCAGGGCTCCGGTAATTGGTGAGTCCGAGGTGGATCACGCCTGCAAATAATGGGCGAGAAAGAAAGAGCCGGACCAAGCAGATTTCTTGTCAAGGCCCCCTTTATTGATTATTACAAGGGGTTTTTATAGAGAAAGACGGAAGCAGAGAAAAAGGAGGTGGGGGGAGGAATGAATGTTAATTGCTCTCAGGCAGGTATCTGGAATCTCCTGTGTTAAGGAAGTGGGGGAAAGAATAGGGGTTATATGCTTCTCAGGCCAGGTCTCGGAACCTGAGGGGTGGGATGCTAGACTGGCTGGCGGCTAGCTAGGCATGGGGGGTCGCCAAGGCTGGCTTCTGACACTAGACAGCTGTTCCTGCCTTCCCCATGAATCCTGTCCCACTGTTATCACTGCAACTGTGAGCCTGTTAGGAACCTAGCTCACACCCCAAAAGCAGTCACTGTGGTGTGTTAGACCACTAGATGGCAACAGTGTCTAGTTGGGTACCTGGGTAAAGTTATAAAATCAATTAAATTTTTTTCAGTTAAATGCATTCATTATGAGGAAATTATAAGGATAAAGTGATCTGTTTGATCATGATGAAACATAATATTGCATCATTAATAGTTTGAATTTAAAATGAAGTCACAGACATATTGGATGTGCCTATTTCCCAGTCCTGTTAGTTTGATGTTTCCTTCTATGGATTCATGAATAACACAGTGCTGCTGTCATCACCCTGGTACCATTCTCACATCTAGGTCAAAATTCTGAAGGATTAGGGCTTCTGTTGCATAGCTGAGCCTAGTTTTCTTCCAGGTAATAAGTTGACAAGTCTCATTGAGCACCAGGTGTCTATTAAACATACGTGCCACCAGCTTTCCAGTGTTGCTATTTATGGATCATTCACCAGAGCAAAGCTGTTTCTTTATTTTCTTCACCATAGTTTCCTGGTATTTGAGATTTGAAAACTCACGGGGTCAGGAATCCATTCTGGCACTGCGTGCTCTCAGGCAGAGGATGGCCTGTTTGCCCTTGAGAATTCACACGCCGAGAAAGATTTATTTGGGGTATTTGATGGAGACTGGTTTGTTCCTCTGACTCTGCCCTTACTTCTTCTGTGTTCATTCTTTCTGTAATGTCTATTGCTTAGGGAGCAAACCAGTTCTTACAGTATCCAGCACCCAACCACTACTGACTAATCTCTGCTGTTTTTACCCAGTTGTGTTTATGCAATGATTGCCTTACAGTTGGAGACATGACTCTGCCAACACTGTGAAACTCTGCCTGGAACCCCTCATTGACAGACTTAATTTCACAGGCAGTAGGGATTTGCTTGCAATTCTCTGCTGTTGCTACCCTGTTCTTTTAAATGAATTTAAGCACATGTACAACTTACAACACATTTAAAGACGGTTTATACTAAAGTTTCTCCTGTTATGTTTACCCCAACTTCTGTCAAGTGCATCTGTTCACAAAGGTGGCCAAAAATGGTTAGTTATAGATAAGTTATAACACCTGGAGTAAGAGCAGGTCGTGGCACTGAACACCTGTAATTCTAGCATTTAGGCAGAGGCACGTAGACCCAGGGTGGAAGGCCAGATTGTGCTGGCTACACATTAAAACTTTATGTTCAAAGTCAAAAAGGGTAATACAAGCTAATACTATATGAATAATAGTGCATTCGACATAGAGTATTGTATCTTCACAAAGTAATGTTTCTGTGGCATGGTGAATACGCATATTTAAATACAATTGGTTTTCCATTTCTTTTTTACTTTTTGGTTTTGCGGCACTGGCGATCCACCTGGAGGTTTTTCACCACTGAACTGTGCCTTTAGTTCACCCAGGTCTATTAAAGAGGGTTTGGGAAGCACAGGTTTCATTGTGCCTGAACAATTTTTTTAATGTTTTGTTATTTGCACTGGCTCCAATGTTAGACAATATGTGTACTTTTCAAATAGGGAGTAATTAAATATTGCATGCAGAAAAGTGTCTTAGTCAAAATTAAAGATGGGAGATGATAAATTTTTTTGGGGGATTCATAGATACATTTTTAGCAGTCTAAATCCTCAAAGAATACCTGTGCTGAAGCAACATATTTCTACATGATTCATAAGCATCTCTCTGGATTTACTTTTCCCCAGAACCCATCCTTTACAGTTAGCAATGCTCTTTCAGCATGATTGAAAAATGCCATCCCCAGATGGATTCAATGGAAAGAAAACATCTGACTACAAAGTTAGTCAGTGCAACCTGAAACTCCTAGCCTCCCCCTCAGTCTTGCTGCGTAAGCCACATTCGCTCAAGAGGGCAGAGACTCTCACTGGAAATCACTGTATTCATGGAAGGCAGACAGGAAGTTGAAACTTCTCTTTTTCACTTTCTGCCCAATTCTTACAAAGGAACCAAGTTGAGTGGAGTTTTCATAAGACAGACTCACATTGACTAAATCTGCCGTAGCACTGGATACCTGATGCTGCTGTTGCCTATTTCTTTGGTTTGTTACCTTAGTAAGAAGTAACTGCATTCAATTAGTAAATTGCTGCTAAGTCATTTACTTAGATTTCTGTAGCATTTGAATCAGTAGCCATGTAAGAATGATAATTATCATACAATGGTGACTTTATTTCCAAGCCTGATAATCCAGCCATACTTTGAATATTACAGATTGTTTCATAAAAACTGGCTCATCAGGTGTCTACTCCACTCCCATCCTAAATATCCCAAAGAGCCCAAAGGTGTGCATGCTGCAGTGTGCACAGACCTGGGAGTGAGTTGTCTCAGTCAGTGCTAGCTTCATTACTCTTTGCTGGGTCTGGTGTAGGCTCAGGCAGGTTACCAGTTAATCTAATAGGCTTAACATTGTAGGCTTACTTTGTAAGGCTATAACATCCAAGTTGGTCCCTTCAAGAACATCTTAGAAAGCTGAAAGCCACAGGAAAGAAGGGTTCAACGGCACTGCACCATACTTTATGGTCATCTTAGCTTTCAATCACTGAAATATTTAAGAAGGCTCTGGAACAATACAATAGGGAGACAAGTGGGAGGGCATGGAACTGGACTGTTAAGAGCCAAGAATCTTAAGAATGAAAGAATGTGTGAATGATAAGGTATGGTGCACAGATCATGCCAGAAACTACATGGAATAAATAAAAATGTCCTCACTTCCAAACATACCACTGTGATAGTGTGAATTATAAAGGATTAAAAGGAAAATCTTCAAAGACCCTGGAAAAAGAAGACAATTGATTGCCTTCCATAGATACTAATTAGGGTGTAATCTGACTTCTCCACATAGTAGGGGTGGAAGGTCACAGGCAATAACTGAACCCATTAGAAAAGCATTGACTCTGACCCTCTCCTTCTTTCCACCCTCCCCTCCCTCAGTTCTTCCCTCTCCCTCTCCCTCTCCTTTCCCTCTCCCTCTCCTTTCCCTCTCCCTTTCTTTTCTATGTCTCTTTTCAGTCTTCCTTCCCTTCCATCCCTTTTCTTTAGTTTACAGTCCTTCCAGAAGAGTGAATACAATGAAAACAGTTCCATAAAACAAAACACAATTGTGTCACTCAGTTTCTCATCAAAGGGATTATTTAAATGTGTGGGGTTTTGCTGTTGCTGCTTCATTTTACAAAAAAGGGGGAAAAGAAACCCAGAAGTATCCCAAAAGAAAGGAACAAATTTAAGATAAGAAAAGAAAGCTTATGATGAAAATTGAACAAATAAGTTAATAAATTAGACTGTCAGATGGAAAACATGATTTGATTTGGGACAAAAAAAAAAGAAATCAAGTTACAGTCACATGCAATGCAAATGCCAGTGAACATAATTAACCACTGGTGTGTTTGATTTTTTAAGTGGGCAGAAGATAAAATTGTTGAATCCTGGTGACCTGAGGAAAGGGTGCCAGGTAGATACAAGCAACATATCACATTTTGGAATGCTCATAGTAAGTGCAGAAAACTCGAACCTGTGCAGTGTTATTAGAAATGTGTGTAATGAATTGTGTATATTTAAAAGTTAAATGACTTTCTACAAAATAAAATCTGAATATCATCATCAGACCACAAGGAAGAAAAAATATCAAATATGGTGAATCCAAAGATAAAATAATGTGTAAAACTACACAAGGAAGGAATAGACAAAAATGATAAGATGAATGAAATAACAGGCAATCAAAATATATGAGTGATTTTTTAAAAGGTAAAATGTTTGATAGGGGTCAATTCACGTTGAAAAGAGGAAACAGTGAAATGGATTTTTAAAATATCCTAGTTAGAGATCTTATATAAAACCCCGAGAAAAGAATAACCAAGCAAATGTGGGGAGCTCTGTGTCCTAGAGTAAACAGATGTGAAATGGGTCAGGCATGGTACTGCATGCCTAGTC